AGCTCGCAGCAGCGGGGGCTGGGAGACCCCAGCCCTGGTTTGGAGCTGGCAGCTTGTGAGAACAGTAAGACCCACAAGGCCAGACTCCTTCTTTAACTGTGAAACCTAGGTCTGGGCTAATCCTTCCCCCATGCTCTGGCTCACGTTCACCCTGACACATTACACACTGCAAGAGTTGAGTGCCGCTCATCCTCTGAGCTTGCAGGGCAAGGCAGCAAAGTCTCTTCAAACTGAGTGGCCCATGAAATGTCTCCTGCACCTCCTCCCACCACAGCTCGCTCCTGAGTAGGTGTGGAAGGAGCATTAGGGGTTTAAGCGATCAGGAATTACAGGGTCCTATGGGACTGCAGGGAACTGTCATGTCCAACGGAGACCAGCCACGTCCCCAGGGTCCCAGCAAGGCTCAAGCACAGCGGTGGGTGGCCAGGCTGAGCTTAGTAACCTGCAGACTGGGATCTTCTGTGACTTTTCCAGTGGAGGTGACCCAAAACCATCCATCAACTGAACAGCCTGCACTAGCCTGCCCCCCGACCCAGCCTCGTGCCTCCCCACCTTCCTGCTCACCAGGTAACCTCCCCGTCTCCTCCCTCCCACCAGGCCATCCCTCTGCACCCATCTGCACTGTGCAAATGAGAAGAGTGTGGAGATCCAGCCAGAATCACTCCAATATCACACCAGCCCAGTGCTGCTCCTCCCATCAGGTCCCACTGGCTAACGTTCAGCATCCCCCTGCACAGCGAGGCTGTTTCTGGCCCAGGACCCCTGGTCTGTGCTCTGCTGGCTGGTACCACCATGTTCCTGATGACCACAGTGCTCTTCCCTCCGTCCTCTCCATCTTTCGGGCAGAAGTCCCTAGGAGATGCACCTTGAAGGCAGCTTAGGTCTTTTTTTATGAAGTTGTGCCGCAGAGAATTTTGCTGGTTCCTTGCATGTGCTTTGACCCTCCAGACTCCAGCAGGGCTGGGGGACATGCTGCCTGGCCTCGGTCCCGCTGCCTCCAAGGGCACGGTGTCCCCGGGGCTGGGAGGAAGCCCAAGGAGCAGAGCGGTGGCCGAGCCCCAGCACAACATGGCTCATCTGCTCCGGGATGGCCACTTGCTTTCCCCAAAGCCTGTCCCAGCCTATATGCCCAGTCCTAACCACCATGTCCCCTTGCACACAGGAACCCACAGCCTCACCATCAGTTCTTGCCCCTGCCCCTGCCGTTCGCTCTTGCCCAGACCTGACACAAGTTCTGGCCAACGCCGCTCCATTAGCTCACTGCAAAGCAAGTTTAATAGAAAAACTTGCTCTATTATTTAGCAAACGGGGGCATGATACAGCCTGAAGGCAGCCAGGATCTCTGGTGCAGACCCAGCAATTCAGCCCTGGCTCAGCCTGCCAGACCTGTGCTCCCTCTGCTCCCCACAAAGCCCAGGCTCGCTCCTTCGGGCTGGGCAGATGGCAGCGTGCAGGCATCCCTGCCTGCTTGACCATCCCTGCCTGCTCAGCCATCCCTGCCTGCTCAGCTATCCCTGCCTGCTCGGCCCTGTGGGTGCTGAGACTCCCCACAATGTGGGTGCTGCCCCACTGCTGCCCAAGCCATCCCAACACAACACTGCAGAAGCCAAAGCGGTTTTAAACCAAGGGGCTGTTGGTGAGCCAGCCTGCCCCACTCTCACCTGCCAGTGAGGGTTATCTCCCTTCTGGCAAGCCCTGAAGAGATCACAGAATCCCAGAATGGTTTGGGTTGGGAGGGACCTTAAAGATTACCCAGTTCCACCCCCTGCCATGGGCAGGGACACCTCCCACTAGCCCAGGTTGCTCAAAGCCTCATCCAGCCTGGCCTTGAACCCCCTCCAGGGATGGGGGATCCACAGCTCCTCTGGGCAGCTCCTGTTTGGGAATGAGAAGACCCTAGGCTGAGGGACCCCAGTCTGAGCCAGCAGCCTCCCCATCTATGCCCTGCACTGAGGCTCCTCTGCCCGTCTGCAAGGCTCGTTCCATCCTGGCAAGGGAGTTGAGCTGGTCTGGTATCAGCACAAGGTTTTCCTTTCCACCCTCCGGCCCCCAGCAGGCATTTGGGAGTTGTGGTAAGTGACCCACGGAGGCTTTACAAAGACCAGTAAGCCCAGACGAGGTGGGTACTGAAGCTCTGGATCACCACGAACAGCACCAGTGAGGGGAAATGCATTTCTTCTCTTTCGGAAGCACAGCCTGCTCCATCCAGACACTGACACGGACGATGTATCATGTGTCTCATCACATCCCAGCCTGGGCAGCATTCCCTTTCCTTCTGCTTAATGGCTCTGTTTGGTGCCAGGAGTCCGTAGCAAGAGAACTTGATGCCTGGTTGAGTGTCCTGTGCTGGGCCAAGGCATCCGACTGCATCCGCGGCTGGATGAGTCGGCAGGGCCCCGGCTCTCCTTATTCCCTCCCTTCCCTGCTGCAATGTTTTGGCCCCATAAATGGCACCTCACTCCTCCACCCCCACACGAACACATCACCTCTGTCCCAGGGGAGAGCTTGCAGCACCTTCCAGCCAGGCACCAGGCACAGTGTTGGCTCACTGGGTTAGAGGCAACCAGAAAAAACAAGATGAGGAAGTCACCCGAGGCCCCATCCCTTGTCCTCGTCCTCTGGGGCAGAGCCTCCTCACAGCGAACCAGGCAGGGTAACAGCCAGCGTCCTGGGCAATGTCCACAGAGAAGTTCCTGTGAGTAAACGTGGGCTGTGCAATCTCGCTTTGCTAATGACTTCTGGTGACCTGGAATTGCCAAATGGGACCTGGAAGAGATTTCGACCTGCTTCCAGCCCTGCCCTGGCAGAGCACTTCTGAGGAAGGAAAAAAACGCCATCCTGCTATCCTGCTCGCTGCACTGAGGGGAAGGGAAAGAAAACAAAAAAGGAAAAAGGAAAAAGGAAAAAGGAAAAAAGAAAAAGGAAAAAGGAAAAAGGAAAGCTGTCTCCTCTTGAGTTCGTATAAAACAGGTCTGCTCTGGAGATCCTGGTTACATATGGGATCCTTTAAATCTCTTCAGTTACCTCCCACAGCAACACAACCCACGGCAATCATCTCCCATGGGAGCATACAGACTTGAGGAAGGTTTGAATTCTCCTTTTCCATTCCCCAGACCATCCTCTTACTCATTCCCTCAGAGACAGATGCTTCCCATCACCCTGCTCTGGGCCAGTGGCAATGGTACCAAGGGACTTGCACACAGGATCAAACCAGGACTGAATCCTCGAGGAACGCAAAGGCAGCAGAAGTGTCTCTGTGGTTTTCCTGCTGTTTTTCTCCACCCCGTCCCTGTTTGCTGTTTTTCAACATGCCTGCATGGAGCAGAACCACGCTGTAAGTGGGGTACAGCACTCACACCCTGGTCCCCAATCCAGAGTGCTGCAAAGAGGGTGGGGGCTTCGTTTTCCCTTCGGTGCCAGGTCCTGCACCACGCCAATCTCTGCCATCGGGCTGCCCGTCCCCTCTGCTCCGGCAGTGGCAGAGGGTCTCCAAGCCACTCAGCCCTGGTTCTTCTGTCTTGATTGACCTCAATGGCTCCCCTGCAATGTTTGCTCGCCTTTTATAGATCAGTGACGTATCAAACCTCAGATTTATTGCAGGGCTCTGCAAAATCATGTAGAAGCATTTTGTTTTATAGACATTTTCCCTAGGCTTCCGCCTGTTTCACCTTGTGCTGCTCCTGCTCAGCTAGGTCCCCCATAAGGACATGATGCTTTGCCCACATGATTCCCCTGTTCTGTATTTATTTCTGCTTTCAAGTGCCCAAGGAGGTGACAACAAAGACCTTGCTGATCAGTCAGAGACTTGCCACTTCCCAACCACACACCACACACAACACGGCACCTCTGGTTTGCGACTGCACAGCCCACCACTGCCCAGGGCACTGAGGATGCTGTTGGCAGCAGGGGACAGTGCTGCTTGGTGATGGACAGCCCCTTCAGCATGGGCTACCTGGGGTTCCCTAACCCAAAGGCTTTTCAGGTAAGGGAGACACAGTCTGGAAGCTTTTTGTTCCCCCCAGACTCCCTGTGGGCTGGGGAGGATGTGATTTTCATCCCATCACCGTCTTCCCAGCGCCCTTCAGAGCTGGCTGAACAGAGGGCCAGAGGAAGAGCTTTGTCGCTTCCCCTCTGTGACTCTACAAGTGACCTGGCCTGGACAGATGTTCAAGGGAGCCAGGGAAGGACTTCTTGTCCTGCCTGGCATGCAGGGAACTCCTTTATCGCCTCCCCCTTCCCTCCAGGAAGAAGTGTCTAGTTGTGGCATCAAATTCATGATGTTTGCCCTTTCCATGGAGCTGAATTCTGGGGCGTGGGCGGGGGTGAGCAAAATCCACCCCCATTCACAGCCCAGAAAGGCCACTGATCAATGACCTTGTGCTGAGCTCTTGGCACTGTCACACTTGGGGCTGTGAGACTGGTACAGCAGCCACGGGAGGCAGGATATAATTAGATATATTTGTGTGCATCTTTGAGTCCTTGAGAAAAGCTGAAAGACTGGCTGCAGGGCTGAGCTGCTCGGCCAGCTGGGGCTCTGCTCTCCGCAAAGCCAGACACTATCATGTTCTCCAAGCGTGAAAACAAGCAGGATGTGCAGCGCAGACACAAGAGCTGCACCGGCACACATAAACTACCAGGTTAGCTGTGGCTTTGTCTGGCCGCATCATTCCCCCAGTGCTGTCACACTGAATGGCTGGTTACCATACAGACAAGAAGACTTGTTCATCTGAAAATCAGTATCACGTAAGTGCCCGGACAGAATTTGTCTCACCCTCGTGCACAGGTCTGGGCAGCTGCAGAGCTCTGCACACATTTTGATGCCTCACCAAGATGTGCATGTGGCTCCTTGGCTTCTGCCTGCTCCGTGCACATCTGCCTCACCTCACCTCAGTCCCCGCACACCCACATCACTCCTACAAAACCTCCCACAGCACTGACCACTGCAGTGCTCAAAGCAATGCCACATGCGGCGACTCCGTGCTTCAGAAATCAAAAGCCACTCACCCCTGAGCATCAGTGTCCACAAGCAGCCGGACCAGTATCCCCGTCACTGCCACAAGGATTGGGTAATGGTCCACACTCTCCAGCCCTACGGAAGCAAAAGAGAAAGACAGAGCTGCTGTCATAGCATGACAGGCAGAGCAGGGCTGCATCGCTACTTCCAGACTTGGTGGTAGAGCAGTCCAGGGGGTAGGGACCACGACTTGGGTTCTCTGGGTGGGGCATTGGTTTCGTCAAGGACAGAGGAGTCCTACTCACTAATGTGAAGCCCACACACAGGCACTGCTCTCATAGAATCACAGAATGGTTTGGGTTGGAAGGGACCTTAAAGATTACCCAGTTCCACCCCCTGCCATGGGCAGGGACACCTCCCACTAGCCCAGGTTGCTCAAAGCCTCATCCAGCCTGGCCTTGAACCCCTCCAGGGACGGGGCATCCACAGCTTCTCTGGGCAACCTGGGCCACTGCCTCACCACCCTCATAGGAAAATATTTCTTCCTAATATCTCATCTAAATCTCCTCTCTTTCAGCTTAAAACCGTTACTCTTTGTCCTGTCCCTCCACCCCCTGATCCAGAGCCACCCCATCTCTCCTGTAGCCCCCTTTCAGCACTGGAAACTGCTCTAAGGTCTCCCTGAAGCCTTCTCTTCTCCAGGCTAAATAGTCTCTAGCCTCTTCTCTAGGCTCTCGCGATGGAGCACCTCTGCCTCTTCCAAGCCTCGAGAGGAGAAGGTGGTCTGTCCCCTCCTAAGCAGGCAGGAAAAACCAGCAGCAGTACAGGGAACACAGGATGCCCATAACACAGCACCTGGAGCCGGTCTCAGCTGACAGGCACAACTCAGCTGCCCACAGTCACTTCCATAAGAAAGAGGGCTGATGTTGGTGAGAATGGCTTCCCCCAGCAGCTCAGTGCACCCTTTACTCGATGTAGAGCACAGCGACCGAGTCTGCTCCCTAAACTGCCATCTGAACAGAGCTCTGAGCCTTTCAAACAGCTCCCACCCAATCTGTGCCGCT